ACGATGTTGCAATGTTAGCTTTACCATTTTCCTCCGTAACCCACTCCCCCGCCCCACTACGAAGGCCCTCCACAAAAATTTTTTTACGCCGAACTCTAGTTACAGTATGAAAATAAGCTGTATTTTGATCACCCTTTTTCAACCAGTGAACCCTCGATTTTTGCTGCCAGTAAGCCTCCTCCGCCTCCCACTGACGATTCAACTTCATCTCCAAATCACGAACCACGTCCCAGTCAATAGGATGGACGCGCTTAACCCTCTTAATTTCACTCTGAAGAGTTCTGATGTTCCGCAAAGAATTGGTAGTGCCTGCCCTGCTCCAGTCATATAACAAATGGCGGAGTCGCTTGAGACGTTCCCAAAGACAGAACATAGGCGTTCCATGAATATCCTCTTGCCATACGTAACAAACCATGGCCCGAACCTCCGGGTTATCCGCCCACCGGGCATCAAACCGGAAAAGGGGACGGCTATTACGGGCGTAGGGCTTATCCGATAGAAGGAGCGCCCGATGGTCAGAGCCTTGGTCCGTGAAATGCTTAACCAAGGTATCAGGGAACTGGTCCACCCAAGACTGAGAACAAAGGGCCCTATCAAGCCGTTCTCGAATGCAAGCGGGACCCATCCTACGGTTCGACCAGGTGAAAGGATCGCCAAGGAAGCCAGGATCATGCAGACCAAGATCTTGGATAAAATCACGCAGACTGATCGAATGAGCAACATTCCAGGGATTTCCACCATCTTTTTCGCTCATATGAAGGGTCGTATTGAAATCGCCAATGACCACATAAGGAAGCGTAAGAGAAGAGCAAAACTCGCGAAGGTGGGCCAACTGGCCTGCTCGAATATCATAATGACAGCTAATATAAACACAAATCACAATATAAGAAAAACAAATACAGAAGTTGGAATGATAAAACACTGAAGCATCAACTCCGGGGGACCAAGCTACAACTAAACCACCGGACGCATCAATTGCATCCACAAAAAAATACTGGGAAGAATCAAAACCTAAACCCCGCATACGACGGGAAACAACACGCCTACTCGATCGTGTTTCCGAGAAAAACACAAGATCCGGCTTATTCGAACGAACTAATCCTACAACAGTTTGGAACGTGAGGGATGGTCCAATTCCTCTCACATTCCAAGCGAGGAGCTTCATTTATCGAGTTGGGGCCATTCCAGGCTGGCTTCCTCCACCTTTTCATTATTATCAGCTATCTCCACGAATTGTTTTTTGGGAGTTGGCGGGATACCCACCTCTCCCTCCACCACCTCTAAGGGTCTTTTCAGAATCCCCATAGGCGGGGTGAGCATATTGGACCCATATTCGTCCAGTTCCCCAGTCGCCAACCCGACAAGGCCACTGCCTCCCGTCTCCGTCAAAATATCTACGCCTCCATCCTTGGATTGCTCCACCATCTTATCGCCAATGGTCAACCCTGCCTCAAAGGCGTCCACCACTTGGTTAACCCGGCCCTTGGATGAAGTGCCCTTCTCTTGAGGAACAGCCTGCGGGATCCTTTTCTCGATCACAAAACACTGGGTTTCACCCTCCGAGCCTGACCCCTCCGAGTCACCCATCGGCCCATGGGGACAACCCATATCATCATTAACGATGCCAGGGTTCACCACTTCACCAGCCACCTTCGGAACCCCAGAAGATCCCTCCACCGGCTTCGCACCCTTCGGCGAGGACCCAGGTTCCGCACCTCCCGCACCCACAAGAAAATCAGCCTTCTTCAATTTCCTCCTGCCACGCGAGGGTCCTGGCTGAGGCTGCTCACCGCCCCTAGCCTCCTTCCCAGCAACACGAGGAGCAGCACCCTCGTCTCCATGCTTCAGCATCTGGGCCTTTCCCCGACGCGGCTTCCTTGTCGCCAGAGTACCCTCCCCCGCTACTTTAGGGCTAGGTAAATTATCAGTACCCATCGAGGAGCTTTTCGGCCTAGGCCACGCCACGGCATCAACCAGCATAGGCGGCGCCGCACTCATAATCTCACCATCCTGGGAAGCTGCTCGCTCACCCTCCTGGGCCATTGGTTTGGACTTCGGGCGGCGAGGCTTCGGCCTCCTTTTTGCCGGCGTGCCACCCTTCGTCGTCGTAGGAACAACATCATGGACAGGTTGCATCAAAACTTCTGCCTCCCTGTTCGACTGCAAGCCATCACCCGCTCCTCGGGTCGCGTCCACCATGTCATCATCAGAATCCTCCTGGAGGAGAAGGCGACGGCGACGTGTTGCAGCATGGACCAACGAATCATGGTCGCCATCCGAGTCTGGCGGCGATCCTTCATCACATGGAGATCCCTTCTGGGGGCTTATCATCTCCTCATCCTCACGGGTAGCAGCAGCACCCTTTCCTTTACTCCTCCCCAGCTGGTTTTGCCGATTACCCCCAATTCTCAGCTTGGGATGGCGATTGAGGATAATTCCACCCGGTTTCTTTCCACAGTGCGAGTTCGGATTCTCCTGGGAGACCGACCCCATGGACGCATGGGAGGGAGCAGGTCGGACAACCCTCGTCGAGGACTGGTTGCGATCCCGAGGCCCGGAGATCGATTCATTCTTCCCCGCCGCCAAGTTATGCCGGTTTTGTTGGTTGATCCAAACCGATCGCCGGGAACCCCAAAGGGGAAAATCATCACCATCATCTTCATACAATTTTCTGTCTAATTTCTTTGTGATCATATGAGGGCCATATCTCTCTTTCCCTTTCGGCGGGTCAAAACCGCAATCACGCCGCGCATGGCCAACTCGGCCACAGTGGAAGCAAAAGCTCGGGAGAAACTCGTATTTGAGGCTCACCCAGAAGCCATCTACTTCATCACTAACCGCCATCAGCTGCGATCGGAGAGGCTTGGAGAAATCTATAGTCGTGTTGACTTTTATAAAGCGTTTGCCAGATTCCTTGCAAACAAAGATTCCAGACTCCAGCACCGGTCCAACCGTCGCCGCAATAATTTTCTGCCCAAAAAGTTTGGTACAGCAGTCTTCCATGACGCCCCATAGCTGGACACAAAAAGGAGCTTTCGACATCTCCTCAAAGATGCCCTTCGTGATAACTGGGGCCCATGATCGAAGGACCAGCAGCCGATCTTTGATAATCCATGGGTTGCGGGAAAGAGCCCACTTCTTAGCTTCCTCATTCGGCAGGATGATTTCATAAAGACCCTACTTCGTCTTCAGGACTTTCAGCTGGCCACGGATCTTCCACGCATCCAACAAATCATCTCGCAGCGCCAAGGTGGTAACTTGATCATTCGTGAACAGCCTACCCAGAAGAGATCGGGAAGCACGAAATCGGGTTGATTGCACCTCCTCGAGAGAGAATTGGACCACTTGATCATCCGTTACACGCGCCATCGTATGCAGCACCTGGCAATCAGATAAGGAGTTTATATTAATAACCGATGAGCCACACCCTAGCTCCGCGGCCGACAACGAGATCGAGCGAGGGAGCTTAACAGGTAATTGGTCAACCATCATAGACAAATAGGAGGGAGAAGGCGGGGGGTCACAGAGGCAATAATAATTACCTGAGCAGTTATCCACCGACAGCAAGAGCTCCGCAGGTCCAACACCTAAAGTAGAAAGCAACACCTCCAAGGTTTCAACCACAGCAGGATTTCTTTGAAAAGACGCAGTGGTATTCCTTCTCTGCGAGGGGGGGTATAAATAGAATCCCAAGAGGTCTCGCAGACTCATGTTGAGAAGTTACGGAGTGAAGCAGAGGTAGAGGGCCAGTAGGACTTGGACTCCCAATCAGAATGGGATTATCTCGTTGGGATCGGATATCCTGGTACCAATCCCACAATCCCGAGAAACTAGGGGGAACCAACTCCGAACATCTCGCCCAGAAGCGGTTACTTCCCCAATCGCAAAATCCGGAGGGTACATCCCACTTGATCTCGCCGGAGGTCTCAACTGCCGACGACCTGCTCGACTCTGCCAGGGTCCGCCGCCGTGGCCGGAGGATTTTCAGGGAACGAACCTCCACCGCCTCCGCCACAAAGTCCCTATCCCCCTGGCCGAACAGGTCGGCCGGTGTCCCCGTAGGGTTACTATAACCATTTGTACACTCGTCGGATTCGGATAACAGCGACGAAGCGCCTACCAGATCCATCGACGAAGGGAGCACGAATCTCCATTTATAAGTTCGAACAAGTCTGCATTTTTTTCGCAGGGCTTGTATTCGACAATAACATATCACTCGAGGGATTAGATTCCTCGCACGCCTGAGATCGTTTGCGTTTACAGAACGCTCGTCTTCCACGAGAAGGACATCGAGTCCACAAAAGGTTTCTACTACTCGTCGTCGCGTACCGATGGGCCGGAGCGTTGAACGTCCAATCCCCAGTACTACCGCAACGATGCCCATGCTGGTTCTTCAAGCTTAGCAGCAGGATTGCAGAGAGGAAATTCAGCAGCCATTCGCCAAGCCTGCGCAACACAATGAGGAGAGAGGAGAGAGCTCCTCCCATACTTTTTTTTTCTAATAGAGAGGAAATTTTATCACTTGTTAATTGTTATGGTGTACTACAATTTTCTTGTATGAAGAATATCCATTTAGAATTAAATAGTTGTTGAATGCAAAGGATGTAGCTTTAATAACCACATTGAATATGATCATATTCCAATTCAACCCATAAAAAAGTTCAAATAGAAGTAATGTCCTAATGGATATAGGCATATAGCTACCCATTGCCATTCATATTCCTAACAAACTGAAAAGCCCAGTCCCCAGGGAGTTCATAAGATTCCAATAAAGCAACAAACAATCACTCAACTTACAAGCCAAGAAGAATCCCATAACACTTACTAACCTGAACAATATCCTGATCTCTTACTAATACTATCCTCCTATACCACATAATTCCCCTTTCCTAAACCATATATATTTGGCAACTATTTTACATTTCAACTATGATGTCTAACTTGATAAGCTGTCTGCTGAAGCAGCTCTATAACAGATCTATCTTCATAAGAAGCAATCATCAGGAGAAGCCATTTTGCTGGTCCTGCCAGTATAAATTGTACCCTTCACACACCTCCAATTTACCAATCAGTTGGTCAATCCCTGCACACAGAAAAGGAGAAGCCACAAGGACCATATTAACATACACTGTTCAATGGTTGGGATGGATTGATCCAAATCTCAGACTGATCTATGTGTTGCACCCCCTTATCATATGCAAATGGAATCATAATAGACGCAAAAAATGCCTACCAATCTCTGGACTGTGGAAGTAGAGCTGATCGACGATAAGCTGCTCGTTTTCATTCTCGTTCTCATCTTCTGCTGGTTTCTCCTTCTCCTTCTCCTTGGCAGCAGCATCCAGCTCTACTTCAACATCAAAGTTAACAGCTTTCGGCGCTCCTGGAGCTGATGACTGCTTCCTCTTGCAGCGAGCCCTCCTGTTCTGAAACCAGTTGTAGACACTGGCTTCTTTAACTTGACCGTACTTGGACAGCTCAGCAGTGATCTCCTTGATCTTTTCTTTGCTTGGATTTGCATTGCACTGCGCAAAGATGCGCTCGAGGATTTGCAGTTGTGCCTGCTTTGGCGCCCATCTTTGCCTTGAAGGAATCCTGGATGGACCGCAGGATGATAAAGGGTCGCCATAAGCATTCCCTGGAAGCATATCTTGAATTGTAAACAAGCCAGCATATGAACTTCTTGCCATGTCAACTTACCATAGATACCAAACACAATTTAACGATTGAAGAAGAGCTTAGAACAAAGGAATACAATTAAGAAACTAAGTGAAGACTGGAGTACATAACAGATAGTGGATGGGCAATTCGGTCCCCACCGGACCTAATCAGACTGAATCGATCTTATATAATTTCGATCCTATTGCATCTTTACCACAACTAAATACTAAGGCCGAACCAAATAGAAACGAATGTGTCGATGATACTAAGCATTTCCTTCATTTCCTATCCGATCCTTCATGCCTAACCCTATATACAGAACACCTTCGTGCAGAACAAAAAAACATAGGCATCCTGAGCATGATATATCCACCACTAGCAGAAACGACAATCGCAGTGGACAAACAAGGGCATCAAGGAAATTACGCAATTCAGAAAATGGAAGACAACCAATGATTCCTACTTCAATGAAGCCATCCTCCCAAAAGTTATCCCACCCCTCAATTGGAAACAGTTTCAACTTGCCCTAATTCCACTTACAAGCTTTTTCTCTCCTACTCAATGTTCAGGCCGAAAATGGCGAAACCCTATGGGGGGAAAAAAAGAGAAGCAGAAAGAGAGAGAGAGAGGGGCTGAACCGGAAAATTCAGGGCGATTGAGGGCGAAGGATGTGTGCATCTCGACGAGCCGCTCGCAAATCGTGGCGTAAACGGAGATTTGCTTCCGAAGAATCTCCATTTGTTCGTCGGTCATCACTTTAACACCTAACCCACTTCCAATCAGCGCCTGCGCCGCCGCATTGTTGTGAATCCCTCTTCCGCTTCCCAGCTGGGTCTGACGATGATCGACGCCGGCGTCGACCGGCTGCTGCTGCCGCCACTCCATCATCGTTTCGGTGCTAGCTCACTCGCCACAAAACCCAGCTCTCAGTTTGGGGGTTTTTTGAAATAAAAATGGAAAGGAAAGCAAATGGGGGAGGTGAAGAAGAAGAAAAAGCGGATAAAGATGGAGACTTTTTGAAATTTGTTTCTTGGCGTATTGTAGCGGGAGAATGGAGGCGGCGTGGTGGTGGACTGGTGGTGGTTGGCGCACTTTAGCCTTGATTGCGCGGGTTTCCCGCGGTCTTTTTCCCACGCGACGAATCCACTCTATGGTCCACGGCCCGGTTTGGTCAGAAATCAAATCCATTTGGGTATTTGACCGGTTCAACAGTGTAATAAAATGTTTTTTTCCCCTTAGTTAAAGGGGAGATGCATGCATATGATTTGATTTTATTGATTTCGGCTGATTTTAATTAGCTTTAATTACTTCGACATTTTAACTGGAATGAATCCAACCAAATAGAATCGGACAGAATTTTGAAATCACGTCAAATTAAGCATCGGCTCGATCAGACTCATTGACCAATTGTCGACTATGTCTGAAGCATACCATTGCACACCCACCCTAATATTTCATTTCCTTTTACTGTACAAAAAAAAACTAATATTTCATTTCCTTTTCTTGTTTGTGCACAAAAGTATGGTTTTCCAATCACATTTCGTTAATTATGGTAAGGGAAATTAAATTTATAAATACTATATCAGTGCCTAATACTCATAATATTTCGTCAAACATACATCCTCATCTACAACGAGTCGGATCGGAAGTGGATAGTGCATATTCATTACCCTACCCAAAACAGTTAATACATCCTCGTCTACAACGAGTCGGATCGGAAGTGGATAGTGCATATTCATTACCCTACCCAAAACAGTTAAGTATTAACAATACTCATATACTCATATAAGAATCGAGCAAAACAGTTAAGTATTAACAATACTCATATACTCATCATACAAGAATCGGGTAGAATATCATATGACAATAACAAAGAAGATTAGTTAAAAACAATATACAATTTCATGAAAATATTGTATATGTATAGTAAATATCAAATATATTGATCATTTAAACAAAATACATATGTGTGTAAAATCGAGCAAGTTCGGGTTGGATATTGTATAAATCATGCTCACCCATCATCCGCGAGATTCGAATTTGGATTTTACCCATATTTATTTTGTAATCGTTTAAAATTCGAATTTTACCCTATGTCCCTGCCGAATTCGAACAATTATCCACAAATATGGTATATTTGTCATCGTCATCCGACCTTATTGCATAATTTGTAATCCCTCAAATTAAGGAAAACTCAAATAGCGTTTTATTGATAAAACCCAAAAAATTTAAAAAATTCGCAATGTTTTATTATGAGAAATTAGGAAGGGAGTTAGTAGTTCCTATCCTTGAATGTTTTTGGGCCCAACAACATTCACATTCCATAGATAAGCCTACTTGGTTACATGAGTTCACTGTACAAACCAAAGGCCCATTCAAGCCCAGAAAAGGCTGCCAACCCAATAATGAGGCGGGAAGGGAAAGATGAGATATTCAATTAAGAGTTAATCTAAATCGATCAAAATAAGATAATACGAGCATGATTAGGGTAGTTTTGTTTTTTAACTAATAAATAAATCTAAATCAATCAAAATAAGATTGCACGAGCTTGATTAGCGTAGCATGAATCAATCTAAATCTATCAAAATAAGATAGATTAGCATCGCATATGTTTGTTTTCTTATTTGATGAATTAATCAAATAATATTAGACGATTATGATTAGTGTGTTTTTTGTCTAGTTATTAATAAGTTAATTCAAATCAATTAATATAAGATCGACCAACAAAAGATAACGAGAGCGATATAAACTTATTAACTCATCCCATCTTAAGTCCATCAAAATAAGCTCACAAAAGCAATAGTAAGTGGAGGAATTTTACAATGCTATATAGCATTGGTGCTATAGGTTTTTGCCTTTATGGTACAATTTGAAATTGTACTTTTAATGTTATGGTACAACTTCAGATTGTACCTATACTCTTTTGTACAAATTCTTTATGGTACAACTTGAACTTGTACATTTATGTGACGGTACAACTTTAAGTTGTAAAGTTGTACCATAACATAAGGGTACAAATTCTTTTATGGTACAACCTGAACTTATACATTTAATGTTATGGTACAACTTCAAATTGTACATTAAAGCACCAATACTTTATAGCATAATAGAAGTGCTCTAGTAAGTGTTGCCTTTCTGGTACCAATAACAAGAAACGTGAATTAGAAAGGCTGAACCCAAAGTTATACTTTATACGCTAGATCATTAGAGACTGAACTGCCGCAGATCAAACCTTCCAATGACCAAATCCGACATCCAATCCAATCCAATCCAATCCAATCCAATCCAATCAATCAGAATCATGATCAGGGAAAAGAAACTTCAGTTGCAACTGTTCAGAAGTTCGTTACCCTCCACTCTGACAAGAAACAGACTACAAACAGAAATTAACCACCTCAGCAATGATGACAAACATGATCTGACTGACTTTTCAGGTGAAACCAATCATTATCTTTGGTCAACCCGTAGAAACACAAATATGCAGAGACATCGCGATGACATTTCAGAAAAGGGTTGGGACTTGGGACACAAGTCCTGAAAGAATCAACGCAGAAGACATGAACAAGCAACTGGAGGATACAACACGAAACCGAGTTCATAATCTACAGAAGAGAACCATTTCAGCTAAATCATTGAACCTTGATTCAGATTACAGATAGACTCCATCTCCCTGACTTCTACAACAAACTATGGCGCGCAACCAGACCATACACTCCTTACAGAGGAGGATGAAACAAACTGGGGGAGAAAAGATTACATCCTCTTAGGAGACAGAAGGTGGGTAGTAACTGGGGAAAATTAATTGACAGATAGAAATTATCCATCCAGCCATTAGACATGTTTTCCAAGGTTACATTGTGATCAGGCTACGTGACTTCAGAGCTCTCTATTCTTCGCCCATTCATTTACTCCTCGTCATCCTCTTCCTGTCGAACCACCACAAATGAATTTCCAGGAGATAATCAGCGGGCTGTATAAATGATCAAGGGACTTAGAATCAAATAATTAAAGCTCATTTTCAACTGACCTCTCCACTTCCCTCTTCGTCATCCTCATCGTCATTAATCTCGGACATCGACTTCTCGGACTCCTCTTCGTCCTTGGGTCCCTCGGCCTGAATTTCCGACCAAAGAAATATGCTACATCAGAATGCATTCCTAACTAACAACACAACGGTAAACCCAATCGAGCAAGACAACCCACCTGTTCCTTATTGTAGGCCTTCATCTTCTTCTCATACTCAGCTTTCCTCTTCTCAGCTCGGGAGATGAAGGGTTGCTTCTCCTGCAATTTTTGCCCAAATTCAACTCAGATCAGCGATAACCCGAAGCATCGAACCAACAGAAGCAACCATCATCGCCCCACTAGATTGATTACTCACAGCATCGGTCAAAGACTTCCACTTGTCTCCTGCAGCTTTACCTACCTGAGATTATATCCATACAAAACAACAGAAACCAATCAACAAAACAAAACCAGCAATTTCAGCTCAAACATAGAGCAAACAAAGCGGGCGGAGATGGATGAACCGCTTACAGCTGCAACTGATTTATTTTTGGGGTGTTCCTTCTTGTATGTCTCCCTGAACTCCTCCCTACAGTCGTGAAAGCAAAATCATTACATGGTAAACCTAGCGCACACCAGATACTCAAACCACCCAAACAAACACCCGAGCAAAACGAATCAGAAGCCCAATTCAAACAATTCATCACTTCCGATTCATAAACCCTAAAGAAAATCAATCAAAATTCCTCAACCAACATTGGAGAAGGATCTCGAGAGCAGTGGGGGGGAATAACAATTACATGAAGACGAAGAAGGCACTCGGCGGCCGCTTGGGCTTGTTGGGGTCTTTGGCTGCTTTAGCGGCTTTCTTCGTCGGCTTAGCAGGCTTTTTAGCCACCGACAACCTAAACCACCACCACCAAAAAAAAAAAAAAAAACAACCACGACCGTCAGCTCAACAACAAACTCGATCTACGATCGATCCGCGGCACGGCTGGCGATTAAGATTCTCCTCTGGAATTCAATCCAAACGGGAAAAGCAAAGAGGAAGGAAGGGGCAGGGAAAGCTCACTTGGTGTTCTTGGCATCGGACTTGGATTTACCTCCCTTCATCGCGAATTCTGCCAAAAGAAAAAAAACATCACCAGATCAGCTCAAACGCCCCGCGAAATGGACGAACCCCGAGTGGAAATCAAGTCAAAAAATTGACGAGGAGATCTCACCTGACCGGCGAGCTAGGGTTCGTGGGGGGAAGCAAGCGAGCGAGAGGACAGGAGGGGAGAATGAAATGGACGCCTTTAACGCTGAAAGGCGGAGGTATTAAGAGGAGAGGGAAGGGAGATAGAGAGAAATGGTGGAAATTGAGATTCAATTGCCCACGAAATGAAAGTCGGAGGGGTTTAGGCGGGATTTTACAAAAAAATTAATGCCACCTCAGCGATCCGCGTTCGATTCGTTGATTGGCTGGGAGAGGTTGGAGATTGGAGCCATTGTGCTCCTTGTGTTTTCCTCTTGTGCTTCTCGCTCTCTCTCTCTGCGTTGTGAGCTAAGAAGAGACGTTTGGAGGGGGGTTTCGGTCAGGAATTGATTAAACTACTTTTATTGCCCGCTCACCCTCCCTCATTCTCCTCCGCTTGTTATTTTCTTCTCCTTTCAAACCCCTGTGACTTGTGGTGCTGCCCGGCTGCCCGCGAATGTTCATTTCGTCCTGTACTTCTTTCTTATTAGACGCTTTTAATTAAGCATATATAAATAGAATGAATCATGGAATTTTGTATTATTAACTTTGTGTAAGTTGATGATTACAAATAATACGAGAATAAAGATGTTGGATCTCAGTGCTTCCAATTGCCTGAATTCTCTCACTAGTTAATCTTTTTAAAATCCAGAGGAATTACGGAGTAGTTTTTTAATGAACTAGACCATAATTTTTTTATAGGTGTCAAAACAGAACCCGACTCGACTAATCCGCCGATCAATCCGACCCGCAACTCGAATTGACTAAAAGTCAACAACCCATAACTTGCCTGACCCGCAACCCGATTAACCCGGAACCCGATTAAACCCGAACCCGACTAACCCGCAACCCGACAGACTCAACCCGAACTTCACCTAATCCACTTGAATAATTATTATATTATATAATACATAGTTTTTCAAAATAAAGATTTTCATTCCAAACTTAGGTAAAATTATGTCTTCATTTCGGATAAAAAAATTTAAAAATATGAAACTCACTTGATATTATGTATTTTAAGAAAATTATAAAAATTGAAACATGAAGGTCACTTGAACACTAAGTTCTTTAACAAAATTATAAAAGTAAATATGAAATATAAAACCAACACAGTGCGAATATTAATAATTGAGATCATGGACCATATTAATATAATATATAAATTAAATTTTTATTAATTTAAGTTTTCAATAAAATTATCAATTAAATATAAAAAAAGTAAATCAATGTATTTGGTAATTTGATGCTTTTAAAAGAATATGAAAATTTTGGTGTATTCAACTTTTTTGGAAGAGAAAGAAGAGGGAGATTAGGTTATTTGAATTTCTTAGAAAAGAAAAAAGAGGGCATTTTGGTGGTTTTGATTTGTGAAAAATGGGAAAGTTTGGTTTTTTTATTGTGAAAGAAAAATAAGGATGGAAATTTTGAGTTTTCAATTTTTGTGGAAGGAAAGAAGGAAGAGGGAAATTTGGTTCTTTCAAATTTATGGAAGAGAAAGAGGAAGGAAATTGAGTGTTTATAATTTATTGAAGGCAAAATACACTTCTATATCCACAACTTTGACGTTTGTGACAAATATATCCATAACTATCGAAATACCCGAAATACCCAATTCCGTCCATCTATTTAACGGTGTCAGGTTAAGAGTATGACTATACTCACAGAATAGCTGAGTTGGCAAATTTCCATCCCCACCCATCTATCTGGATTAACAGAAAAATAAAAAAATAAAAAATGCTAGGATTTAACTTTAAAAATTTTAACTAAAAAATAATAAATGGAACCCTGCAGATCGCCGAACCTGTTCGTCTTCCTCTCGCCCCAGAACCCTTCCATCACCGAGCTCCAAATACTCCGACAAAACCTTCTTGTGCTTCCTTTGACGACGATTGGCGCAAGTAGAGTTAGAAGCCACCGAGTTCTTCCTGAACGGCGTGTAGCTTACCTCGTCGTCTTCTTCCCGCTATCCAGATCCAGAACCAAATCATTGGAAATGCGACCGGAACACGATTAATCGTCTTCCTCAATCTTAGGACTCCAGAGTCTTCACCAATAGATCCGTCGTCATTAGAGTCAATAGGGAGTTTGGGTTCAGATTGGGGTAGACGCCATCGCCGGCGGGGGCTTTGTCTGCGATTTTGGAATTGGTGTTGACTGGAAGCAAGGGCGAGAGCTGGCAGCGATGGAGCTAGCGGGTGCGAAGCAGATCCTCGATGCCGTCACCATCATTCCTCGAAGTCGCATCACCGTCTTTGATGCCCTTGTCGCTCTCATCATCGTCGTCGTGGTCTGCTTCAATCGATCTCCACCTGCCCTACCTTTAACTCCAGCATCGACAGGGAATGAGACGGCAGGAGTAAGCATCTTCGGGAGAAAAACGCTGATTTTGGCGAGTTTCAGATTGTGAGGTCGTGACCTACTCCGTCGCGCCGCCGCTAGCTGCCGCGATTAGGGGTGTTTAGAAGGCTAACAAGTTCAACCTATTGATGGCGGATTTTATTTTGGGTGTGGGAGTGGGAGGTGGTAGCGGATTTGATGTCGGCGGTGGGAGTGGGCAGTGGTGGCGGATAGATGTCGACAATGAGTGGTGGCGGATTTGATGTCTGCTTTGGCAGTGGGAGTAGGCGGAGGGGAGAAGATGGGGCGGAGAGGAGAAGTTGGGGCGGAAGGGGAAGAGTTACGAAATTGATTTTTTTTTTATTTCTTAAAATTAAATATATGTAAGTAAATATGATGTGTAATTTCCGTGTCATTTGGTGTTGATTATTTGATGACGTGTGCACTGATCTGGCGTCCTAGTCAGCGTATAACTAACATAACTGACGGCGTCACTAACGGTGTTAAAGTTTGTAACGGAAATGGATAGATTTGTCACACGATAGTACGCTTTTTCCGGGTATTTCGTGTATTTCGATAGTTATGGATATATTTGTCACAAACGTGAAAGTTATGGATATAGAAGTGAATTTTGCCTTTATTGAATGATAAAAAATAAGGGGAATTTTAGTTTTTTTTTTATGAATCGATGGGATATTTATTCATCAAAAAGGGTTGTTAGCAACTGCCCTGCTAATTAGGCTTAATCTGTAAGATATTTTAGGAGTAGTATTGTTGCAAAACAACTGACTTGATTTTATTAAGATTCTGCGAAGCTAATTATATACATACAAGGGAGTGTTTGTAGCAACAGAAACAACCCACGTTCCTCAAAGGTAGGAACGAGAGGGAGAGAGGTAACAGAAGAGTGGGAGAGAATAAAGAATAAAAGAAATAAAAGTCAAGATGCTTTTTGGGAGTGATCTCTAATACGCCCCCGCAAGCTGGAGGAGGTATCGGCGACACCAAGCTTGGAGCGAAGAAGAAGAAGAAACCGTGTTGAGGGTAGTGGTTTAGTGAGTGCATCAGCAAGTTGATGGGCCGTGGGGATGTAGGTAACGCGAAGCCGCCCGTCTTGGACCAATTGAAGAACGAAGTGATAGTCTAAGGCCAAGTGCTTCATGCGGGAGTGGAAGACTGGATTAGAACTGAAGTAGGTAGCCCCGAGATTGTCTGAGTAGAGAATCGGAGGCGAGGACAATGGTTGGCGGAGTTCCTGGAGAAGATTTTGAATCCATTCCAATTCAGCAGTGGCATGAGCAATGGCACGGTATTTAGCCTCTGTGCTGGAACGAGCCACCGTGCGCTGTTTTCGAGACCGCCAAGATATGAGGGTGGAGCCAAGATAGATGAGGTAGTCGGAAGTGGAAGACCGATCATCAAGATTACCAGCCCAGTCAGAATCAGCAAAGGCAGAGAGATCAAGAGGGCCAGGCCGCCGGCTGATAGTGAGACCATAAGTGAGAGTGCCGGAGACATACCGAAGTAGGCGCTTGACACAGAGCCAATGAGAGGCCGTGGGAACATGCATATATTGAGAGAGCTTGTTGACAGAGTAGGCAATGTTCGGCCGGGTGTAGACGAGATACTGCAGAGCCCCCAAGGCCTGCCGATAGCGAGTAGCATCAGTGGGGGAGCTGCCATCATGCAGAGTGAGAGTAGCAGAAGCAGAAAGAGGGGTAGCCTTCATATCTGTGAACTGGAATCGCTGCAGTATATCAAGCATGTACTTATGCTGTGAGAGAATATAGCCCGTGGAAGTCGGAATGACTTCGATACCAAGAAAGTAGTTCACATCACCAAGTGCCTTGAGCAAAAACCGTGCAGATAGAGCTGCCTGGAAGGAAGAGAGTACACCAGCGTCATTACCGGTGAGCAGCATATCATCGACGTAGACCAAGAATTAGAGGAGCACCCGCCCCCGCGAGTAAACAAAGAGAGAGGCATCAGAGTGAGTCTTAGTGAAGCCAAACTCAAGAAGAAACTCAGTCAAGGCAGTATACCAGGCCCGGGGAGCCTGACGAAGACCATAGATAGCCTGACGCAGACGACAAACATATGTAGGATGAGCAGGATCAACGAAACCCGGGGGCTGAGTCATGTAAACTTCCTCCTGTAAGGGAGCCTATAACAAGGCGTTATTGACATCAAACTGAGCGATTGGCCAATTATGAGAGAGAGCCAGTGTAAAAACAGTCCGAACGGTTACAGGCTTGACATCCAGACTGAATGTATAATGAAAATCGAGACCGGGGCGCTGATGAAAGCCCTTAGCCACCAAGCGAGTCTTGAAACGTTCAATAGTCCCATCGGAATGGTGTTTAACCCGGAATACCCACCGATTACCAAGAACATTGTAATGAGGAAGACGCGGTACTAGGTCCCAAGTATGATTGGCAACTAGAGCATTATTCTCGGTAGAAAGGGCAGTCCGCCATTCAGGATAGCGACGAGCATTCTTAACTGAAGTGGGCTGAAGGGGTGGAGGCCCAGTCACTGTCTGAGTGTAAAAGAGCCTCTTTTTGGGCTTAAAGATTCCATCTTGAGCCCGAGTCCGGGGAACTGGGGGGAACCAGAAGCCCGGGTGGAGGAGTGGCGGGGAGGGAAGGGCCCGCAGTCGAATGGGTCGGGCGGGCAGAGGGAGGCCCAGTTGAGAAGGACTCCTGCGCGGGGGAAGCTGCTGCTAAGGGTGGGGAAGCCTGGCGAGGCCCAGTGGGTGATGTGGAGAGCTGTTCAGGCCTAGGGAGAGTGGTAATGGTA